TTGTTCCTACGAGCCGTTTTCCTTGGAATTATTGTGCGCGTAAAATTGGATCTTTTATGCGTTTTTATGCGTTTTTATAAACATTCTCCAAGTCGGGAATCCGTTGTATTCAGAGGATTGAAGTTGTGAATTCTTTCATGGGTGGGAAATGGACGTCTTCTTCTCATTGAGGTGTCTAGGAATTCTTTAATATTCGCGCAGTACTACTCGTACGACCGTATTACCTACCCGCATTATTTATGACGTACGCGTGAGAAGCATTTAAAGGTACCACATTTACTTCCTTTACTAAGCTACAGGAAACGACTTACTTTGTTTGAGAATATCGTATCCCGTCCTTTTAACATATTATAACTGTTAATAAAGAGAATGGAGAAACCCGCTATACCTTTTTTTTCTAAATTTCAAGTAATAAGAAGTATTGGAGAGAATAACCATAACTTTTTCCAAACTACAGAAAAACAGAAAGCGCAAACTAAATAAATTACAATAAATTACAAATTTTTTTACGATCCATGTTGTCGGTTCATCAGGATACGTTGTTTTATAAGAGTCTATTGTCCGCTGTTTTCAGGATGTAACAATGAGAAGTTGCTTTCTATTATGCGGAAGAAATGGAAATTGAAGTTGTGATACACAATGGACGGGAAAATCGCCGAGAGATAACGTTTCCACAGTGCGGTATATTAATGGCGCCGGTTTTTCGTATATTCGCAGCTAACGCGCAGCCGATGGAAATAAAGTTCACGGTGCTGTCATCAAATTAGCGCGCGCGCACGCGAGTGCGAACACGTAGCCGTTCTCACTCGAATGGGTACAACAATGAGAGCGGAAATGGATATTCGATGTAAATGTCAACCTAGCGCAATTCCGCGAGAGCTTTATCGGCGAGCGTAGTATCTCGTATCACGGTGATCGGAAACTTATATTAATAATTTATTAGTCGCTGTCATCGCGCCCTCGACACGGCGCATGGTTTGCATTCGATTCCACATTACGCGAATTCGATGAACGAATGGCAATGACCTCATGTGTCTTTAATAAGCTGATTAAGAGATACTGAAATAGTGATTTATTTCTCGCACCTGATATATTTAACGCACATATTTTTTTCACCAAACTCATAAAATTACGTATGCTGTTCATACATTGTTTAGTAATTTTAAAATCATACATCTGGGAACAAAATTTAATGTGAATAAAAATTTATGTAGCATATACGCGATATATTTCAAAACTTATGCAATTTACGTAAAATAATATTACGATACTTGTTAAATTTTGAAACAATCTCTTTTGAATAAGATTTTAATTGACAGCTAATTTATTTTACAATTTATTAAATAATTCAGTATCTATAATTCTGTTTAAATTTTCTCTTTCTCGTTCAATTCAGTTTCAATCCATTTTAAACGAAGAATCGTGTAAAAATTGGAGAATACCGCCTTATCATCATTGTACACAGACTTTTTGAGACGCATTGTAGAGAACGAAATTGCATTTCGTAGCCAAAGCACAAGCTCCTTTTGGAGTTTAAAAGAAAGGAAGAGGAGAAGATAGAAATTCCGAAAGGCGAGGTAAAGAAAATAATTTTCTACCTCTTTCGAATCGTCGTTTCCTCATGAGTGCGTGTAATGCGGCGGCTAAAGACAGTACGTGAGTGTCGCATTGCAGTGTTCTCACCCTTAAAATTGGAATTCGTACGTGGTCAAAACGTTACGCCTGGCAGACAGTATTGTGATATTGTTATACTACAATGATAGAAACTAACACTGACATAACCACCGGTCTTGTTGAATTTATTCACAGTACCGTGGAATATTTATACGCGTTCTGTATCATGCATAGAATTGGCGGCGATGCGATTCGATGCATTATACCGTAACGAGTTTAAAGTTAATTATCATTGAGATCGATGCGAATGTGTGTACGCGCGCGAAACATTTTCAGAGCATCATTACGAATAAATAATGTCACGTATGTCGACCCTCTTAAAAAAGATCATTAGTAGAATTGGCATCATTTTATAAACATTTTTTAAAATGATATTTTCGAATTAATAATGAAGAAGCGTTGGCACCATTTTTCACATGTTAGTATCTCAACATAGCCGAGATGCAATTAAAGTTAGTGTAACAGATTTACTACATTTTAAAATCATTATTTTTCAGAATTGGATATTTGGTTAATGAGATATTATATAGATAGTGATAATAACCATTATTTAATAAAGATAATGTTTGTTAAATAAAAGATAATGCGGATAATAACTAATATTGCAAATGTAAAATGCATGATTAATGCAAAATAATTCATAAATTCATAAATAATTCGTTGTTGTCATTTGAAAATTCCGTACACACGTATTATAATTTAAAATTCACGGCAAAGAATCAATCTGTGTGTGCACGTAGCCAGAGTTATAATACTTCACTTCAACACGTGTTAAAGTATCGTACGATTAAGCCCCTTGATAATACGACGAGCACATTTTATCTGTACCTCTGATTCATTTCATACTTTGTTCACGTACCACACGTAATTACAGCCGGAGAGACAAACAGAGTCGTTTGTCTGTCAAAAACAACGCGTCAGATCTTTCAGTTGCGTGTCTGTCGCGTCACAAAGAAATGTAATTAATTAATTCTACCTTTAACTGTATCAAGACAGGGTCTTCATTCACTGTGTATTTGACAAATTGAAACACGCCTATGTGGCAGTGAAGAAGTGTCAATTTTGGTAAGCTCTTTCCAAAATTCATTGCTTAACCTACGCTTTAAAAACTTATGTCTTTCGTATAATTAACATAAGTTTTTGTATTACATTCATTACACAGCCATATACGTACATTTTTTATGTCAAATAATTGTTTTTTTCAAAATTTACCATGATAAAAAATAAATATTTGTACAAATACGTTTACTGCATTATTCCATTATTTTTTTATATGTTATATAAATTTAGTACGTATTTACGTACGATTTATTATAGAAATGTATATGTGTATATATGTAATGTGTAAAAGATAACAAAACATTATTAATTTTATATTTTCACGTTTGTTCACAAAATTAGTTTCTGCAGATAAATATTTGTCCTGTTATTTCTCGATAATTTCATCCTCAAATTAAAATGTTACTCATCAAGTAAAATCGGAATCAAGTTATATAAAATCTCTGCGCAAAGGGATGGAATTTCAGCGGGAAATTTATGTCAATTTAAGGATGCGCTTTATGACGCGAGACGGGTACCTACTTGAACGGCGTCGAAAGTGCGAAATCTGACGTGGCTCATAACGTTCTCCATTGATTTTAGTTCACAGCCGGCGAAGTGAATGCGAAACACATCAGCATGATATCTCCAGACGTTGTTTCGGATTGACTAGCTGATGTTTATGACACGATCCGCCACAAACTAGGAAGATAACTCCCCAAGTCAGACATCGATTCATAGCATGACATCGAAAGGGGCGATAAGCAGGAGCGCGCTATTGTTGCTCGATATCTTTGACCAGGAAAGTACCTTTCCAATGTCGATATGACGACGGCGCCACGAGGGACCGAACCTAAATCTTATCTCGGTTCCTAAGGGACGTTACCGTATTGAAGAAACCGTCAGTACATTTCTCCACCCTTTCCCACTCGCGTCGCTGTATCTGAAAAGGGCTGTTTTACGTTTATGGCCTGCTTGTGGTATTTAATGGGTCCTAAAGCGTCCAAGTACCTTTTACCAGCTCGTGCACGCGTTTACTCGCGGCTTGTAGGTATTGCGCGCGTATTTTCTTTTGTACATATCACTTACGAGAAACATATCCGCGAGTTCGCTCACCTCCAGTCGCCTTCGAAGAAATTTACGGGGTAGTAAAGCGGGCTACTCAAATAAAGAATGTCCATGTTTTAAGAGGCAAACATCGCGAAGGTTTATTTATCATGCCACTTTGGCGAATAATATACATTTCATTTTCATGAGAGAATTGCGATCGAAATGATCGGTTCTGAAAGTGGGTGAAGCTGAAGAATGCATGAGACATTCTTTATTCATGTATTCGTTAAGTTAAAAACTTCCATACGGATAGCTTAGGTGTTCAGAGTTTAGTCGCGTTTTGAAATAGAAATGAAATAAATAAAAATAATTAGAAATAAAGTAAGACAAACAAAATACGCGCATGTAGTTTAATAAATGCTACTGAATATATACATAGCACTGTGTGCATAATAAATCGCGTAAGTTATTTTACTATATTCTGAAGAAGAATAACTTTTGTCATTTGTGTGACGGCTGTATCTCGTAAAAATCTAGAGAGCGTCATTCTAGACCAAACAACAGAGTTATAAAGTTTCACAATCTTCATTTTGTGCGTGAAACTGCTTGGAAAGGCTATTCTGATTGCAATCTACGTTGAAGCGAAGGAAGACCTAACCTCACCAAGTTCCAAAATTCGATTAATACTTCACACTTCATATGCTCTGCAATACGTTAGACGGATACGAGCTATTTAACCCCAACACTATTTCTATGACTTCCGATATAAACTCAGTCTAAATTTATTAGTATTAAATTTATTATTAGGTGTAGAATATATTTACATTACATATAATTATGCTCTAATAACACGTTAATTATTCTGATCTATTTGAGCCATATAATACAACTAAATCAGGCAATTTGAATAAATCAAATAATAATAAATATTCAAAAGAAAATTTGCATTCTGCGAAACTTAATCGATTGTTACTAATTTATTAAGGCTGATTAAATTTTGCTTAGAAAATGCCACGCGTCAGTTTCAGATCCAGTAAAAGCTAATAAGTAATTGAGCAAAGCTTATTTAATTTGACATCGTGTCGTTAACCTAAATTTATTTTCTCTACATTTAAACTTTTTTGCTCAATTAATAAGAAGTAACTTTTCATATTACAAAATTAAGCTTTCGATAAACTGATCGATGAGCTACGGTTTAAAAGTATCGCTCACCAAAATATCATTGCATTTTCGCTCACGTTTATTGGTGTATACTCGTTGACATATTCTCTGCATGACCCTGCCAAGAGAAAAAGAGGCACTTCGCGACGGTGTCACGGCCTCCGACGTATCGATCAGTCTTAGGAGAGTGCGAGTGCCACGAAAGTAGTACACTTCACTTGCGTCGTGCTTTTATTACCTTACAACCACGAATGTAAACACGTAAGCATAAAAATGCGCTAGTCTACGCTATGCGGCGAAGAATACGGCGAGATCACAGCAGCACGTAGTAAAACACGCGCAAACACAAACGGCTCCGGACGCGTCATTGAATGAATCACTATTACTGTCATATAAATACGCATTGTTTCCCCAATGCATCATTGCCGGCCTATCGGTATTCGCCAGTGCTTTACACCGTTTGCCCCGGGGAAAACGAACGGCTGTTCCTTCCCAATGTATTACACATTTCCGCGTTGTCGGCTAGCGCGAAGCGGCCAATATTTCCCGCACGATAAATCAAGGAGCGTTCGTGTCGTGCGTTCTGCGGCGCCCGGAAAGACGCGAGCTTACAAGTTGACGGTTGTAGATAAGGTCAAGGATATCACTGCGGCGCGGACGGCCGACTATAGTTTCAAAGAGACGCGCGACGTGACGATTTTAAGACTAAATAAAGGTTGAAAACTGTGCTAAGGCTAAAGCGGAGCTTATAACGAGCCTCGCTAGTTGCAGGCGCGATCCCGGGTCGCGTGTAACGACTGCAGCTTGCAAGGTTGAGCATTGGCCGGGCTACCCTCGTTCCTCGAATGAGGCCGTTCGATCGCGTTCGGGCACACGCGTTTTATGCCTCTTGATTTATTCCTGTGCTTGATACATATATGTATCAGGGGTCCTATATATCGCGAATGGAAAAGATACTCGCAGGACGTCGGGGGAGAATAAGGGTAGTACGAAACGAGATGGGAACACCGGGTGAACGGATCTCGATGAGCGAACTCGTGCGCTTTGTACGAAAGAACATCGGCGATCTTGTTCGAGGGTCGCGAATGTAGGAAGTCCCTGTAGACATGTCGCGTAAGGGAGACACGTACACGCTTGCGACTGAAGCACTATATATCTATCAAATAGATCACGCCGTTCTATTTTATAAAGTAGAGAAAGATACTTATTTAGAAACTCAGGTCTAAATTTTGACACACATTACACTGAGCCAAAAATGCCTAAAACAATTTAATAAATTTCAAATGTATCAAATAGCATTGAAACATGTAAAAATAATTTTAAATAAAAAAATAACAGTTTAGTGTAACGTTTATGTTTATTTAATAACATGTTCTAGATTAGAACACTTTCTTCGCAATGCTTTTCACAGTAAGTTTACTTTATGCTGGTAATGTATTTAACTTTAACAGGTCAATTTTTGCAAATGTTAGATAAGAAAAACGAAGGTGGAGTGCTTTCCAGTCGATGATTACGTCGCTATTACGCGATAGTACTCACATTCATGCGTCACTGTATTCGCCGCGATATTTGCTGAGGACTTTTAAACGACAATGCCGACTGTTCGATTGGAATCGTTTATTTAGGAGAGACTCCGAGCGGAGTGTTTGCAAATGCGACGCCGCTCCTCGCTCGTGAAAAGCTATGTAAAGTGTACACTCTTTTTAAAGAAGCCATTTGATTAGTGTCTTAGAATTGGCATATATGCGCCCATCGATCCTCATGATGTGATATTTTTTATATACTTCAAAAAGTATATATTTAATTTCTTTCTCGCAATTTATCCCGACAAAATCTATTAAAGGATATGCATTTGCTTTGTGTTATTACGTGTATTCGAAATATGTTTCGCTTTTTTTATCTCGCGTGCATTTCTCTACATTTTCCGAGTAATTCCGTGTAATACTGTATTACAAATCTACTTACAACGTTTGCTTTATCGCTACATGTACGCATTCTGCAATCGCTTTGTGGAACAAGTGCTATTTTGGAACAGCAAGTTGGGAAGCGAGCAAATTTGTTGGTAAAGTGATTAGTCTCCATGAAACTAGCGTCTTCCTTCGCACTCTATCTCATTGTAGACTACATAAAATAAAGTAACAAATGCGCAGGCAGTTACTATCCCGAAGGTTAGATATCTTTCAACCTGCCTCTAAGTACAATTTAAGCACACAATTACTACAAATAATGAACCTTTGAAAGAATCAGCATTTAGATGGAGCATTAAGTTTCGAAAGTCCATTCCAGTCTCTTTTAAATATTCCCGCGATGTGATTTCGTTATTTATATAAAGACAATTTTCACGGAATAAATCAAATAAGACATTATTTATCGATAAATTGTTAAGATTTCTTTCGATTAGGAAATTCTGCAGAGAGGAACTTTCGTAAGTTAATAGCAGGGCAGATGAAAAGAATGAAACAAATATGCATATTACACGATAAAGCCAAGAAGTACTACATCTTCGTTATCGCTCCGTCTTCCTCGACATCTGATATCAATCGCGCATAATTACGAGCAAAGTGAGGAAAAGTTTAAGTAACTACAAGTGTAAGCAGCGCTCGTGACTAAACATCCCACGAACGTTGATTAGATGCGGTCGATGTTCAAATATCGATCACGTCCAACACGTCGCCGAGACTAACGCGCGGCGTTACTTTGAGTTACGATCGCGTCGGCCAATTTTGCAGAAACACGCTGAAAAGTCGGACTCGTTACGCGATGCGGGCAGGCTGGCTGGCTGGCTGGCGTCGTAGAAATCAATCGTGTTTATACGCGCGCGCGAACGGCTGGAATTGAAACAGCGTCAGTACTTTCGAACCGAGTCTCGTAAAGCGACGGGGGGAGTCTGCCTCCAAACGATATTCGCGAACTATTCATTTTAACGTCCTTTTCCGTTGCGGTGCTCTATCGTTACCGCCGTCCGGCTGTTACCGGTACACCATCCGACATCGTTTTAGGGCCGGTGTTCGGCCCTAAGCCTTCGCACTCGTATCTCACCGCACTAAAGCACATTTAGTCTGACACTGTGAAATCCTAGGATTTCATAAAGCACATCACGTACAAGTACGCCGTAAATATGTATTATATTAGAAGAGGCGGCGGCGCGGAAAGAGAGACGCGAGGGACAGCGGGGGTCCTAACGACGTGTACGCGCGCGCGCGAGCATCGGGCATTAAGCTCGTGCGCGTTCGTGCGGGCTGCGTTTCTTGCAATTAGGCTGAGAAGGGGTCGATTCACGAATTAGCGCGATAAGACGAACACGATATAGCGTGGGCCCGCGACCCGTTTTTAATATGTAATAACGGCTTAGGACGCCGGAGAGGATTATACCAGTGCTCATGTCTAATTTGCAACGGAAAATAGGATCTATTATCTCGAGCCGATAAGAAATTCGAACGACGCGGAGAGTGCTCACTTTTATTTCTGATAATGGTTATGATAAGCAAACGAACCGAGCGGTTCGCTCACGAAACAATTATTTTCCAACGTGAATGAGCATCATTTAATATTCATATTCAAAAATTACTACATTTGAAATCTTTCATACACAAATGAATAATTTTTTAGCCTGACCTAAATTCCTGTAACAGAAACTTGCAATAAATAATGAGCCATTTTAGTGTTTATTCGCGTGTAGATTTTCGCAGATTAAGTAAAAATAAATATCTACGCTCTTAACATATGACAAATAGATTATTTTACTGATTATTTTGTTTAATAATCTAATATTTGCAATATTTATTGTTAATAACTATGCTTATTGCTCTTCGAAGCACTAACGAGTCATGCTAAGTCGTGCGTTATATGCAATGTGTTTCGCCAAAGTGGCTGTCGCGCTGCAATCGTTATATTTTGCCGAAATGATCTCGCACTTCGCGTCGCCAATTTCGGGACAATTCGTATAAGCGTATTGCTGCGAGGCGCGTTTCGTTTCGACCATTGGATTTTCGGTGATTATCACGAAACTCAGATATGTTCTCGTTACGGCAGAATCTAACAGATTTGTCGTTCGAAATATTCATGGGAGCGTGCGGCTTTTCGCGATTACGACCGAGGTTGTTATCGTTGACTGCAGAGATCCGTCGTCTCCAGTAAAACTGAAAGCGCAAATGCGAAACCGCAGAAAGCTATTCAAACAGGCGTCAGTGGCAGACAAATTTCAAGCAAAATTAAATATAGTACGCGATGATGGGTCACGAGACTTTCTATATTTACAGCGAAATTGATCCTGTAAATGTATTGCACAAAAGTCCGCAAAAAGTTCTCAATTTATTTCTTGTTGGATTAAATGCAAAATACAAAATGATCGCTCAGCTAATAAATATTATTAGATAATTCAATCTTTCGCATAATTTGTTTAGCATTTTTGAGTTTTGTCAGAAATATTTCTATTGTAAAAGTGCTATTCTAATAGAAAATACCAGATATTTGGAAGAGAAAATTCAAGTTATTTCACATTAAAGGAAATATTTATCGTTGGATAAAAGGAATTGTTTCTATGTGACATTTGTAATTTTGCAATAACAACTCTAAAAAGACTTTTCTTTTGTTTTTGTGTTTTCTAAACTTGTCTTTGAATCTTTTGAGCTTGAGTTTCATAATAGATTACAGCATCAAAGTTGATGCAAATATAATGATAATATTCGTTGATGGTAATGTATGGCAAGCGCGAAATGGCACTAACGTCGGTGTTAATGCATGAGAAGCGTCGCGCCTTTAGTCGATGAAATATTAACCAGGTGTTCGGTTATTGAATTTTTAAATAATTCTCATGAGAGAGTGACGCCTTATTAACCGCTTGCAGCAAATGTATTTACCGATTAGCAAATATTGTCAAAAATAAACCGCATCCATACATTTATTGCTTAACAAATATTTAAAATTTCTTATAAAATATTTAAATTTAGTGTAGTATATGATTATAATTTTTTTGTCATTTCTATACACAGAAAAAAAGTAAAACATGAGTTAAATTGAATAATTATTAAAATTATAAAATAAATTCTACATTTTTATATTTTTTATAATGGAAAACACGGTATAAAAAACTATATAGTA